TCTAGCTTCAGTAATGAGCATTTAAAGGTGCAAGCTTGCAGTAAACGTGCCTCTCTTTTAAAAGCTCCCTTTGAAAAGGCTGAAAGGAAACTGTTGAGAACTGTAACGAGTAGAGGAAAGTAAGGTGTCTTTCAAAGACCCAAAGCTCTGTTCAAACAGAAAAGTAAGAAACTAGTAAACCAGTACCACGATGAATAAGATTCCAAAGCTGAAAGAAAGTGGGGCATCTTGCCAGGAAGTCCATAATGTAAAAGTAGAGAAGGAAAAAGTAATGTCCAGAAATCGTCCAGTGGTAAAAAAGCTGTGTGGGCTTGAGTCTAATTCTGCTCCTACAAACAAAACACTTTTCTCAGCATTTATTCTTAGCTTTGGCAAACCTCAGTGTTACTAACTTACTTCAAAGATGGTCCATTCTGGTAAGAAATTTTCAGCCTGCCCCTAAAATCAGTAGTTGGCAACTTCATTAGAGAAGAGATTATCCTTTCACTTCTCTGCTGAGTCCTTTGGAGCTCTGTGCCAGTACTGTGATGCCAGGATACAGTCCCAGAAAAAAAATACAGAACTACATTTAATAAGGGAAAAAGATACTGAGAAAGAGTAATCTGCGAGAAGCAAAATATATGATCCTGCTGCAGCTGAATGTAAGAACAGTTCCTTCAGTTGGTCAAATCTTCAGCGGAATGAAATACCTGTTTCGTGTATGAACTGAATTAGCCTTTGTCCCTGGGAGACTTTCAGTTAAAGACTGTGCTTCCTGTAGAAATGCAGAGGTCAGCATGAAGGGCAGCTGTTTTAAAGATTGTTGCAGACTGAGAATGGCTGTAGCTAATAGCAGAAGACCCCAATCCTTTCTAAATTCCTGGGGTAGAAAACCAGAAAGTCTAAGGGACTTGTTTGACACGTGAGCTAGAGGTACTTATAACCATTTAAAAACACAGCATAACCAAAGAACACTTTCTTCTTTTCCCCTCTCCCATCCCCTAAAGGAGTGAATGTGTTTCTCTTCCCTTTTTGTAAACCACGTCTTAGAATTTTTAATTGTCCAAAGTGTCAGGTTGAAGAAAGCAGTAGTGAAGGACATGGATGCCTGCAGAGCCTTGCATCTTCCAGTCTGCTTCTTAAACTGCTGTTTCACTGGAGCAAACAAATTCATAACGTACTGCTGATCCTTGCACATTTGGCATAGTTAAGGAGGATCAGAGGTAGCCTGTATAAGGCTGAAGAGCAACACTTCCTGTGTTCCTTGGATGATGAAGTGAAGGTCCGTCACCTGGAATATCATTTTTCAGACTGAACGATGCTCTGACACTAATCTGAGATCCCCAAGTTTATGAAATCAAAGCTGGCTTGAAACAATACCAATTCCTGGTTTTTTTGTGTTTTTTTTTCTTCTATGTATCTTATCCTGGGGTTTTTTGTGTTTTTTTTTCTTCTATGTATCTTTGTGACACCATCTGGGATGGCAGAGAAGGTAAGACTAACCAGTTCTTTCTCGTGCAGGTTGATGAAGAGTTTGTTGGCTTTACCGAAATGAAGCACTGCTTATTCCTTTCTGTTCTTATGGTCAGCACTAGGCAAATGAAATGCCAGCTTGTGATGGAGACTAAACAGCAGATGTAGCAAGAGATGAGAATTTCAGCATAGGAAAGGTATAACTCCAACTGGAAGAGTAGAGGTAGTCCAGTAGATCCTGTCAAAGTTAGTCCAAACTAGGTATCTGTGATGCATCTTTGAGCTGAAGCTTGCAAGTGATGCAGACGGGAGGTTGCACAGCAGCAAGGAGGCAAAGTGTGCTGGAGAGCCACTGCTGGCTGGCCAAGAGCCAGGCACTGAGCCTTACGTGGCACTAAGTGGGAGCTGTGCCAGGCCTGGTGTTCTGGATGAAGAACGTAGCTGCCATTCTCAAGTGTGTGCTCCAAGGCTTTTGCTTCAGTGACCAGGTGGTTATCTGGACTAGACCATGCAGATGAACCACAGCAATGAAACATCTACCTGGCTTCAGGTGGTTCAGCACAGACTAACCTGGAAGTGTTCAAGGCCAGGCTGGATGGGGCTTTGAGCAACCTGGTCTAGTGGGAGGTGTCCCTGCCCATGACAGGGGGGTTGGAAACAGAGGATCTTTAAGGCCCCTTCCAACTCAAACCATTCTATGATAACCTGCATCTTGAGACTGCCAGATAAAATTAATGCCTAATAAAAATGTTCAGAGTGAAGTCTTCCAAGTCCAAAATAAGAGTAAGATAGCCCATGAGTCTTTGCAGGCATGCAAGACTACAAAGAGGACAAATCATCATAAAGGCAAACATCAAAGAGCTCTGTCTCAAGTTAATAAGGATGGTGGGGCTCTGGATGACTAAGGAGAACACTAGGGGCCAGAAACTGAGGGGCTGGTGTGTACAAAAGAGCTTCCAAGTTTGCTGGGTACCATGTACAAGGACTAAAAGGCGAGTACTGCTAAACAGAAAGCTGGGAGGAGCAGGGGAGAAACTATCCTGTTCTTTTAACGAAGCACTGGAAAACAACGTGAGATAGGATGAAAAGAAAGACAATACAGGATTTCTGGGGACCTGATACTAAAAGGAGCTGCAAAAGCAGACCTCTTGGGCTCCACTGATAAAACTGTCTGAGCTGCTGCCCATTTTGTCACACAATTAACCCGTGGCTCCAAGGAAGAAAAGGCGTGAGGGCAGCAGGTCACCTCCTGGAGAACAGTCAGCAGCACGTGAAGATGAGCAGGAACTTGCAGGGTATGGAACTGCAAGAACTGTGTGGGAACACAGCACACTCTCCATAACACAGGCAGGAGGAACTGTGGGTCACGTACACCCCACGGAAGGGGGTGTCAACTGCCTTTCTTCTTTTATGTCCTCGGAGAATCATGATTGCTATGCTGTTATGCATCAAGGAGCATCTTCCAGAAACATATGATGATTTTCCAAATGAACTCTAGAACAGCCCCAGGGCCAACCCCCACATCACTGTATTCTTTTAACTTTCAAAGCCATTACGAGCCTGGTGAAGATGAGAATGTGAGATGGTCCCTCAGCTAATTATCACAGCTAATCCTCTTAGAAGTGAGGAAGTTTTTAAATTACTCTTGAACTCTTAAACAGATTACAGATACTGATAATCCAGCATGAGCTGCAATACATTCAATGAAATTTTCACAGAATCACAAAATGTTAGAATGTTTTATATATGAAGTTTTTCTGCTGCCTTAACCACATACAGAATCATATCCTTTTAAGCTGACATAATTTCCACAACTAGAAATGGAAAACATTTTAATATCTCTAAAGTTACTCTACTTACAGAGTTTTTCACCACCTTTCTTTCAAACAACAAAAGGTAACTCTCTGTCTCATATGCCAAGTCTTTTATTGTGAAATGGAATGCATAAAACAATGACTTTACTAGGAAAGCCTCACTCATTTTGAAGACTTAAAATGTTCTAATTTTATATTCTTTATGACTGATGTCAGAAATTACAGACAGAAGACCAATAAACTCAAAGTACGTAAAGGTGCAAGAGTGATTTTTCCACAGCTACATACAAAAATGAGTGATGGAACATCAGAAATACCTGAATATGGTACTCTGGATGTTCAGAAGCTACTGTAGAAGAACCAATGACTTGATTGTTTTGAAATGGCACAAAAAAGGAATGTGCTATATAGGCATTACTTACATCAGGAAAAAATTCGACGTCCTTATATTTAACTACTATTGTGAAACAGGAGTCCCAAATTAGTGTGCTGAAGAGCAAACAACTCCTCCCAGGCAAATCCAAGACAGGTACAAAGGTACAGCAAATGCAACACCAGTTTTGCATAGACTTATTTATGTAGGTTTAATGCTAAAATCAACAGTTCTCCGTAGTTACAATTAAGAGTGTAAAGAGGCCTTAACATGAACATGAGATAAATATTACTTCAAGAGTCCTCTCCATTGCCACTAGCATGTAAGGAGGATTTCAGTAGGAAAAAGAAGCTAGGCATATTTCTGTATCTTTTTGGGACCCGAGCATTTATATACTGTCATGCTTCTGCAATACCAGAATGTGATAAAATCCACTGCATAATGCAGCCACAGACTATAGGAGTAGATCTGGGTTCTTCAAGGTTATTCAATTAATATTTTCAATCAATGATGAACTGAATTTAAAGAGCCTTGCACAAACAGTGTGCAAGTCAATAAGGAAACTTAAGATATCATTAGGGTTAATTTGTAAATTTACTGACCAAAGCAAAACTAGAATTGGAAACTAGAATTCTGCCTTGTGGATTTATTTTTTAATTACATTTTATTTGCTGCTAAAAGGAATACACTCTCTATTTCACTTGTTGTTATATAGAATATAGATTTTAAATTGTGCAAAAGGAAGATAAACTATTCTTCATTAGGCCGTTGGGTTTGTTTGGTTGGGTTTTTTTCTCAGTAGTCAAGAAGTTTATTGAACCCATATTGTATTTGAGGAAAATCATTCCACTTGAATTATGTGTGTTTCATCTTATAAATATATCAGTGTGGGGAACGAAAAGGGGAAGACCAAGCTATTATTCTCCTTGAAACATGAGACAATTGGCCTAGTAGGTCACTGGGGTACCACATAATTTAAGAATTTACAATGTGTTAAGAGACTTTCCTAGGACATAACAATGATTTGCATTATATGAATACCCACTATGCCAAGAAATCTAAAGGTTTGTCAACAATGCAGAAAGCTTTATGTAAACTTGGATACATATTGAAAAAATCAGGTCACAGGCTTTTTTCTTCACATCGCCATTCAGTTTAAGACAACTTTGCCATGTTGTGGGCTAAGAATGTGGCAGAATATAAATTTTAACAACCTTGTCTGTCTCATCTTCTCCTTCCAACAATTCTTTTTCTTTTTTTAAGCTATGAACTTACACGCCCATAAAAAACTTACAAGTTTAATAATGATTTCTAGAATTTCCGTTATCTCCATCATCAAATGAGAATGATTTGTAATCTGCATATAACCCAACAATTTATTTTTGACAGCCTCCAGTCCAGCAATAAAGTCTGATTCCACCCCAACACACTGGCTTGTTTTCACTTTTCATAGCCTAGTGGCACAGGCACCACACTTCCAGTTAATGAGTTGTCTTAAAAACATAGACTTGGATAATAAGTACAATGGTCAGGACACTCGGGGTTTCACCAAAGAGAAGTTTAAATGCAGGCAGTTTGTTCAGTGATATCTGGTATACTGTGGACTGTGTGAGGACAAAAGAGGATCTTGAAATAGGAGGATATCAAAACTAGATTTTGGCAATATAGAAGATGTATTGTCCATGTAGTTCTTTCATAAGCTTTAAAAATACTCTTATTAAATAAGTTTTTCCTTAAGATCAGATAATACATGAAGTCAGTAAGAGTCCAGGGGTCAGAATCTTATTCAGTTCTTAGTTATTCTCTGTGAGCCTTTTTTTTTGGCTTCTCTTCATAAGATTCGCCATACTCATTCACTCTGCTCTTATCCACAGGATAAAGCCTGGCAGAAAAATTAACAAATTATTAGTTACAGTATTATCTGTCACCTGGATGAATTAAGCAGTTCTGTGCTACTTAATTTTAAAAGTTAATTTCTTTATCATCATATTCTCTATTCCCATTTGTAGCAAAAAATACAACAGTTTTAAAGATTAGCTAAAGACACATCATCTTCTTCACATTAAGACTTAACCAGTTATCTCATACCAGGGCCTCTTAAGAGACGTATTAGGCCTCCTAAAGCTTGGCTGGAGTATTTCTCAAGTAATCCACGATACCTCTCAAACTTGAAACTAGCCCTTGCCAGAACTTGTTGAGCTCTTAACTTTTATAAAAAATACCTTGAAAGGGGACCTATTTTACTACACTTATGTGTGATTATGTAAACCCAAAACTGAAGCCGGCATTTAGTCTTAATGATCAGCTAGATGCACACATCCACATGTCCTGGTATAGTGCGAACTTGGCTTAAAATTCTTGCTTCCTCTACATACATATACATAAACATAAACATAAACATATACATGAATGCACTTTCTGTAGCTTCACTTACAAACAGTATTTCAATGCTTACTGCATAAGGCCTTCTTCCCCATCTGATTTTAGTTACTTAAAGAATCTGAAACTCACCAGATACTCAACTTATAGGAGCACCTGGCAACTTGCGTTTGAAAACCAGATGAAGAAGAAAGCAGAGCAGGGCAATGCCTCATCAGAAAACATCCTTCACAAGCACTTTGCAGAGCAACTTGGAGAGCACACCTCGAGTATGGAGCCTACGTAGACATGTAGGCCCTCAGCAAGGGTTAGAAGCCCAGAACGCTGAAGGGGGTTTGTGAATACAAGCTTAAAAATTGCTCTCCTTCACCTTACTCTTAGGTATTCATGTTTCGGGGCAATTTTTCTTTTTTTCTTTTTTTTTTTCTTTTGTAACTTGCAAATGTAAAGCTATCTGCTGAAAAGGAGGACTGCTGCCTTGGGGACGGAGAAGGCGTAACTGACAAAAGTTCTGAGAGTGCTATTATAAGAGGAATTTATCAACGACCCTCTTAACATGCTCAAAGAGTCCAGGAATATTGTGAGCTATGGGAAAATGCTTTTGCAAATCTTACTGGTATCGGGATCTCCTTTTCAGGATCCCCTGCTCACTATTTCCTTTATTAGGCATATACACAACTACCATTACCTAGACCATGTTATGTATTACTATGGTACAAAAATTCTGCTTGAAGTCTATCCCAAGCTATTTGATAGTTCTTTATACCAATGACACTGCAACCATCTACAGTGCTGTAAAAATTCTGATGAATATTAAAGAAAGGCTTACCATCTTTGGTAAAGATAGACCAGGAACACAACATCATCTCTAAAGCATGCCAGCCTATGAGATGTTGGCATAGTGATGATAAAAGCAAATATATCATCAATAAAAGTGTTGAACGCCTGCAAGTAAAAGAAAAGTATACTTCAGGTGGCTTTGAAGAAAGGAAGTCAGTTATTATACAAAGCTACAGAAAAAAACAGGCTTCCTAGAACTGTATTTTTTCAGTAAGAACACAGACTGCTTCCATATTTATAACATTGCTTGATGGTTATGCTGAAAAGCTAATTAATGCAAACTTTAAAGTGTTTTCTTTTAAGGAAGACCACACTGTCTTCTACAGACCACACTATTACAGTAACAAGTAAAAAGGAAGTAGGACTATTCCGGGTAGTCATGTAAGGGGAAAAACATGGATCAACTTCAGTGAAATCTTTAAAGGAATCTGGGGGAAAAAAAGCCACTTCCATTCATTACACATATGATTTAAAGACTTACAAAATGTCAGTTCACTTTCATTTTCTGCAGGCATTTGAGATTTGTGTAAAAACTTGTTAATTTACTGCTCTTAAGAATGCTAACTTGACAGCCTTGGAAAGATTTTTAAAATATTTTTAGTGCTCTCCTGGAAGTGATCATCCATCCCCTATTTGAGATATAATTTTCGACATAATTTCCACTCAACTTTGCATACTGTAGGTTCTGCTTCTGAAGCAATAATGAAGTATTTTCTCAATTCTTTTTCGTGAGTGAGAACACTTAAATTCCCAGACATCTGCTGGAAAAGCAATACAAACAAGCTCCAAGCATGCAAAGGTCAACAATATTTTGTCAGAGACTGTAAAGAATGTAAAGAGAAGGGCAACTCCTCTGCAGAGAGGACTAGAAATCAACTCTTACAGCACATAGAATGCCTTAAGTTGGAAGGGACCTCAGAGATCATCTAATCCAACCTCTCTGTCATGGGCAGGGATGCCCTTAACTAGACCAGGTTGCTCAAGGCCTCATTCAAGGTAGCCTTGAACATCTCCAGGGAGGGAGCATCCACAGCCTCTCTGGGCAATCTGTTCCAGAGTCTTGCCACCCTCATATTGAAGAATTTCTTCCTAAGATCCAATCTAAGCCTATTCTCCTTCAGTTTAAATCCATTTTTCCTTGTCCTATTGCTGGACACTCTTGTAAAAAAAACCCCAAAACCATCAGCTCTAGTACAGTGCAATAAACTCACTAAAATTATCAGGAAACCAATCCAGCAAAGAATATCCACTTTTGGTTTAACAAACCAAGTAACATGGCTTCATCTTTCCATATTAGCAAGCTGTGCACTAATTCATACTGTAACAAGAGGAAGCACGATGGATTCTCTAAGCACAGAAGGACTTGCTCTTCAAAATGAGCCAATGTTTAGATGATGAAAGAAAGCATCAGAAGATGCAGGTTTTGGACAGGAGAGAGTTTTGATTAGTTACAACAGGAAAACTCTGGCAAGTCAAAACAAGCCCATCAATCTGAAGTTATGAAAGAACATGGACGGCACTTCTCAAGTCTGTGCAAAGAAGGTTTGTCATGGAACAAAAAAAAAACAAAAAACCTTTGCAAGTCGGAAAAGACAGCCTTTCCAAGTCAACAGCCAAGTGAGTGATCTTACAATAAAAGGAAGAAAAAGTTTAATGCTCCATCCTTCAGGCACTTAGGAAGTCCCCACAAGCCACTGAAACTGAATGCACCAGAGCAGCCCTTCTAATAGTATTTAGCCTAGCTAGTTAGGGTTTGGGGTTTTTTTCAGATTATCTCATTTGAAGGTACCCCTCATAAAAGTATAATGGGCAGAAAAGTAAAGAATACAGAACTGGAAAGTTAGAATCATATTCATTTTTGCCAAGGTCTTCCAGAACAGGAAATAGTTCAAATTAAGAAACAAAAATAAAGTTCTCTAAAAAGACAATCACAGATGAGACTTCAGACTATTCTTTCCCATCTTCAAAGTGCAGAACAGAGCCAGCAACTTTAAATAGCCACAAGGCAAGAGTAAATTACCCCCTCCAAAACCCAGCAAGCTAAATATAGTTGAAAACACCACATACAAACAAGCCTTTGTTGTGGGTAGCCTCTGGCATCTTCACAGGTACCATAAATGCTCTGTAAGAAAAAGCTGTTCAGGAACTGAATTCTACTGCTTTAAAGGTTATTTGTTGGAACAGTCTCCCTTTCCTCTCTAACGGCTGATGTCTCTGCTCAGTTATTATATTTTGTTGCTGAAATAAAACTGAAATTACTTCCCTAATACACCTCTTACTCCCCTCTGTTAAGAAACATGTTCATTTGCTTAATATATGTCTTTTTAATGTACTTTTTACTATATTTCTGTCTAGTTGCTATTCTGCTATCAGCTATATTTCAATCTGTTTTCAATCTGTCTTGATTCCTTACAATTTTTAAGGCAGCAGAAAGCTGTAGGCTTACAGAAATGGAAAAGCTATGAAAGGCACTTCAAATTTGAGTTCTTTTGCTCCAGACCATCTGTTCAGAATTGGACACTATGTCTTGAGCAGTTTTTAATACTATTTCTTTTCAAGTATTGATGTGCTGGAGAACTATAATACATCAGCACAAAGGAAGAATAAATGAAGGCATTTATGAGCGGAAGCAGAAGAAAAAAGGGCACATGTTGATGGCATCAAGATCCTCCTGATCCCAGCACATCCAGCCAGAGTTGCTCGGGACACAATGACCAGTCAAAATAAAGGACAGTACAAAAATCCTAATGACTCAGAGAGGTGGCAAAGGATGGAGTAAAATCACTGTCAGCTCTTTAGTGGTGTAAGAACAAAAGTAGCATACAGTTGCTGATTGAGGAAGAAGGTAGGAGACACAGGAACTCAACAGGGGGTGTCCCTTGCCCTCCTTTATCAGTTCAAGAAATCCTGACTGGGCTACTTGGTGGCTGAGTACTATCCAAACCACTTCTGAGTATACAGGTAGCAAAGCGTTACTAAGTTGATGTTGTTTTGAAATCAACTCACCTTCCTCTCCTCCAAGGTCTGTTGTCCAGCTTTTCTAGAGCATCACATTATTTCCTGTAAGGGCAGCCTAGGCAGTGGGGACACCGCAGGGCAGTCCCTCTTCCACCACATGACAGCCCACCAGGCATTTGTGACTACACTGCCCAGAAGCTCAGAATTACCACCCCAGCCCAGAACAACACGTACATTACTTCAGTCTCTCGTAGCTCCAGGAATCTGCCAAAATAAGGTCTCTTAGTAGTCCTATCTGTGCCCCAAAAATCATCCTTTGATAATATAATCTCTCTCTTCCTAAAATAATGCATTAGAGACTGACTGATTTATTTGCGGGACCAACGTTTGTGCCCACACAGGACAATGGAGAGTACAAAAAGCAGTATTATCATCAAAACCAGGATGCAAGTATTCTCATTATACGGAAGTCATTATGAAAGCTGGAAATCAATGCGTGTTTTTTAAAGGACAGTTGCAAGCAAGCTTAGTTCTTAAACAAAGAAAAGCATTATCAGACTTATGCTACAAATTACTAAGCTGTTTCTTACAGAAAATTATATCAAAAATGTCTGCAGGAATCTCTTAACTAGAGCTTTACTTACTTTATATGTGAAAGCCTTCCAGGGTAAGTGTGCAACAGATTTCATCTAGGAATAAAAATATCACATTTTAATAAAGTCTGCAAGAAGAGACTAGAGAAGTAGTCTTTTATCACTTTTCAATCTTACCTTGTAGTTTACAAACAGCTGGGGTAGCATAAACAGGAATCCAAATGCATACACTCCTGAAGATAAAACATGGAAAACTTAGAGACAAATGGACAACAGAAGTACATCACACAACTATCCTTTCATGATTAGGAGATTTTTACTTATTTTCCTACAGAGAGAAGATGCATTTAATCTTTTTGTTCACTTTGTCTGGTTCTTGTCCCTTTATCACTGTGATAATTTTGAAACCTGTAGTCAAGTTACTGCTTTGTATTACACTGATACAGCTGATAGCAGCTGCTTTTCTACGTTTGAGTCTTGGCCTCCATTTGAAGAAACATGAATAGAAAAAAAAATAAACAAGGGACTCACCATTGACAAAACTGTTAATCAGCCAGGAGTACCAGCTACAAACCAAGAAGACAGTGCAGTTATTTTTTCACCTTAGCAAAAAAAATATATACCTGTAATACATGCTCTGCATGACTGTGTGCTGACTGCTCCAAGAAACACGATGTTTCAAACTACTTTATGCAAGAACTAAATACCTCACATCCTCTTTGATTAGGAAGGGCTCCAGAGTAGGCAGCCAAGTAAAAGAATGCTTATCAGTCCGTACAAGTTTGGAGAGCTTTATCAACTGTTTTCATGCTTTTTCAGAACGTTCCAAGACTTCTGCACCCAAGCTGACATCAGATAACACTGCATACTGAACCCTGACTGACGAAGGCTTGCAAAGGTAATGCTATTCTCAACACTAAGGAGACAATAAGGCAATGTAAGGATTTAGAAATCGCAAACAACAAATACCATCCAGTGTCAACCACTGTAGGAGGCACTTAAATCAGTAAATAAAAGGTATCTGCATTTTTCCCTCCTTACATTATATAATAAAGCCTTCCAAATTTTCAGCTTGTCATAGTAAGAACAGTCAGTAACTGTGATGCTCAGGTTACATAATTTAAAATTAAACTTGCACTGCTGTGTTAGTGCCATGACAATGGCAATATTACAGCTGTAGGAGTGCTTCACTAATCCACAAGCATCTAAAAAACGCATCAGAAAATGCCTGCAAGATTAAAGGTTAATCCACTACTAAGACTATTTGTTCCGTCGCATTTCCTTTCAAACATATTTAACAATGATAAAAATTCTATTATATGAACTATTTTCACTTTCTTAAGCTACAGCTCATGGAACACCTGGCATATAAGATTTTTCAGTACTGAATGAATTAACGAATTCTGTGAGAAAAGCAGAATTTTTAAATGCTGCTTATTGTTAGCTCCTTACAAAGACAACAACTTTTTGAAAAAAATAGTTTTCTAATAGCCCAGAAATTGCCCCAGTTTCTACTACAAGTGCTATGGCTCACATCTGCAGCAACAGTAGTTGTTTCTGATGCTATTTTAAGTTACTGCTTGCTTCTCCCTCATCCCTTCTGGGCCTAAAGACTATTTAAAAAAAAAAGTCTACATGGCCATGCTTGCACTTGCAAGCTAGAACAAAGTTTCAAGGCTGCATACTTGCTTGCAACTCTCCAGTGCAAAATGAACTAGCTCTAAATGGACAAGAGTTTCACCTTTAAATGAAATATTGAGTCTTCAGCTCTTGCTGAAGTATCAGTGTGTTGCAGTAAGTCCCCGGCTCTACAGGAATACAGTCCTGTCTTAAACAGGCTTTTCCTGGCTTGCCATCCTGTTGCCGTAAAGGTGGCAGAATAATTTTTACTGTCTTAAGAGTGGTAAATCAGTCTTTCAAAGAATACTGCTTCAAGGACAGGAAGACGTGACCAAGAAATTTTCCAGCTGGTTAGTAGAAAACATAATAAGACAGTGTGCACCTGGATAGCAAGTAGGCTGTTGTTTAGAAGGTTTTAACAAGCTGTTCATCCTTGGGGGTGTGTGGAACCAGACCTAAGCTAGGCTTTTCCAGTCAAAAACCTTTGTTCTGGAGATTAGAGGGTACCAAAACATCAAAAATTGTTTATGAAAGGCTGAAAGTGAGCCAAAATTAAATGTGGCAGTGGGAGATGGCGACCACCACCTCAGTTCAGAGCACTGAAAACTCACCCCCCTACACCCGCAAGGAGCATGCCTGCTAATTTACATGAGAGGCAAAGCTAATTTTAATATACTGATCCAATGATGAATGTAACCATTATCACTAACCAGTAACTGTAGAATTACTGGCAAGTTAGGCATGTTTGTGCTAATAAGTTACAAAATAAATATGTTGCAGTTTTTCAACGCACTATGCTAGTTTCATCTAGCACCCAAACTTGGTCAACTTTGCTAATAAACCGATGGCAGCTTTCTAAACCATCCTTTGGGTTAGAGAGTTTTTCCTTTAAAGCTGCTGCTTTCGGCAACAATCTCAGCTATTGTATTTAGGAACAGAGGAACCTCTTGGTCAGAGCAAATAATTTTGGGACAGTTTTCACTTCTCTGCTATTGGAGAGGTTCAACAGCTGAATTCCTCTCATCTCTCCTGTCACTTTATCAGTTCTCTGGACAGTAACTGAAGCTTCCTTCCATCTCTTCTGACTGGCAGCATATATGAAAACTACTGAATTCTATACTACAGTAGTTTCAGGTTACTTGTGGAACACAACAGCCTTGTAGGAGCTTGCAGGATGTTAGAAAAAAAGACAGCTAGACTCTTCAGCTCTAGGTCCTATAGAACAGAGAAATTTCCAGTTCCTGGCTAAATAAATAATTAATTTCCATAACCCATCAACTCCAACTAATTAAGACAGAAAAAATGGGGAATGTTTCAATTCTATATAAGATAATATGTAGATTGACAGTACCTTTTGTATTTGACATTCAGCAAGGAGTAACCTGCACCTCCAATACACAGTGGATAGAGCAAATATGACAAGTATTTCATAGCCTAGTAGACAAAGACAATGGTTTGTTAGTTCACATTTTATATACAGCACTTTTTGTGACATTAACTAGAAGACAGCTGCTATTTTTTTTTACTAAAAATATTTCCTTTTCCCAAATATCTGCTAGCATTTCCAGTATGCTACCAGTTCTAAGGAAGGTGGCTAAAGTTTCAACACACAGTTCAGACAACCAAGCACCTGAGAGCAACAGGCAACAAAAGGCAGCACAAACATCAGAATCTAAGAGTAGCTCTCTGACTAACACCAATATTATCACCTATGTTCAACTCCTTTCAGAAATCAGGAAGCACATGAACATTCCTCCAGTGCAAACAGCAAGTACAAATATTAGTTTTCAAAGTTGTGAATGGTAACCCTGTAAGATAAGTCTTCAGATAAGTCACTTGCAATTCTGATTTTCAGAGAAGCATTTCATCCAGATTAAGGACATAGACCTGCTGGAGTGAGTCCAGAAGAAGGCAGGAAAATGATCAGAGGGCTGAAGCACCTATGAGGACACGCTGAGAGAGTTGGGGCCGTTCAGCCTAGAGAAGAGAAGGCTCTGGGGAGACCTTACAGCGGCCTTCCAGTACCCAAAGCAGGCCTACAGGAAAGCTGGAGAGGGACTTATTACAAGGATATGTAGTGTTAGGACAACGGGTAATGACTTTAAACCAAAAGAGAGTGGCTTTAGATTAGATATAAGCAAGAAATTCTTCACTGGAAGAAATTCCTGCACTGGATCAGGTTGTGGAAGCCCCCTCCCTGGAAGTGTTCAAGGCCAGGCTGGATGGGGCTTTGAGCAACTCACTCTAGTGCAAGATGTTCCTGCCCTGGGCAGAAGGTTGGAATTAGATGATCTTTAAGGTCCCTTCCAATTCAAACCATTCTATCCTTCTACGATTCAGCTACTAAAACAACTCTTTCACTTTCTTTTTAAATTATCAGGATGAATCTTCACCATCTCATCATCCGTATGACGGTGATGCACTTGACAACTATGAGAACATGGAAAATGCAATTGTTACAATAAAAAAAGCAAAACAGGTCAACTACCAGGTCTCATATATAGACTTTATAGTTCAGAAGTAACAGGATTCCCTCTTACCTGGGTATCATACTCCTCAGTTTTCTTCTCAAAGTCATTGTACGTACCAAACTGCAATACATATAACACACTGAAGTCAGAACTGGGTGGAAAAGTAGTTGCCGTATGACTCCCTGCAGATTTAAACGGCAAACTAAACTGCTTAGTTTAAGCTAGGTAACAGTTCAAAGTTCTTACAGTCTTTTCTACAAGAGTCATACAGATACCCTGGGCCACCTGCTAAATACAGGGTACGCAAAAAGCTTCACTTTTCCCTTCACATTGTGCATCAAGCACTGAAGACTTCTTTGCTTCAGAAAATGCGATTGAGAAAGCAGAGTTCACAAAGCAAAAGCAAAGTCAAGTGGCTAAGAATTTGGCAGATACAGGAAGCTGTTATGAAAAACCATAACCATTTGCATGCATGAGAAAGTCAATTATGGATCATCACACCTCCAGAGGCTGCAGCTGGCTAAACATAGCTCCTTGAATACTGACAAAGGACCGACCAGAGCTACCAGCCACTCAGGATGCACAGACTTTGACGTCTACGCAGCACAAACTCCACAATTTTTGCAAACTAAACCTAGAAGTTAGGCAACTGTTTCTCCTACCAATCAGAGAAATTTCAATGTAGATTGCACTTTAAAAAGATTACCCTCGCATCAAAGAAAAAGTTAATTTGACTCCCTGCTGCCACTGCATGGTCTGCAAATAGTCTCAGGGCTTAATTTTTACCCAGATTTGTTAAGGGCTGTCCTGCCCCCAGAACAAGTCATATTTACTAGTTGCACAATGGAGAAGTAACAAGCACAGCTTCATTAAAAATTCAGTTTCTTATTTCAAATCCCAGTGTGAGTTAAGAGTGCCTTTCCAGCACAGTGGCAGGAGCACAGTCCCACCTATTAAGATTTAGCAAGACTGAGAGAGGAGTTATGAAGTTTCTCTCACCATAAATACATACAAATAGCTGCTTCCCCTACAGAAATCAAAGAAATGCCTAAGTTTGAAAACGCTCCTTCAGCTTTTGCATTAAGCCATCCATAAAGAGAAGATGTACATAGAACACTTTTATAGATTTTTTTTATTCTTCCTTTCACTTGGAAGTTGCACAGTAACCTGGAAATAGAGGGATAACTCAAAAGTATAATCATTAACAGGCCAACATCTACCATACCTGAATTCTGAGTCTCAAGCCTTGCCACTTGATTGTCATTTTCAAAGCTTTCTTCACTTTCCAAAGCTGGATTAGCAAAAACAAAACACGTGCATAAAAGATTATCCAAAGGAATGTCTTATGCAGGATTCAGATAATCACAATCAAGACCCCAGAACACTTATATTAGGCACCCATTGCACAAAGCAGCAACACCCTGACTGCAGCGTGCTGCCTGCACTGCTCTGCAAACCGAACGCTCTTGTCACCAGACAAGCACAACACGAGAAGCCTGCACTATTAAGCCTTCACATCGCATTACGTATTTCAAGTGAAATAATGCAGTCCCGGCCAGGGTAGCTGGACTGCAGTGCTCAGGTGCTGGGGTCTGCAAGATGAAGGCACCTCACAACTCCTAACAGCTCTCACCAGGAGAGCTACACTCCATAAAGCTTTTTCCAGATAAAGTTTGTTTGTTTAACTTTAGATACATCAATATTCTCTTCTCACCCCTTGTATCTTCTAAACAACAAAGTGCAATATGGTAGAGACAATCCTTTACTTTCACACTTAAGGCAAGTGAGAAAATGACTTATTACAGAAGCAATGTCACTATTTAGTGGTCACGGTAGCGTTGGGTTGATGGTTGGACTAGATGATCTTAGAGGTCTTTTCCAACTTTAATGGTTCTATGATTCTATTAGTACTGCATGAGAAACAGGTGTTAAGAACAAGTTGTGAAAAAGCTCTTCCCAGCAGACAAACTCTTTTGAGATGTATAGTCCACATGTTTCTTCTCACCTTCAGACAACCATGTTATCTCACCAGCACTTGAGAGGAGAGATATGTTACTTCAGCAGAACTTACAGAACATTTCCCCTCAATTTAAGTGTCCACACAGTGTTCCTATATAATCTTTCAACCCAGTTCCCCCAGCCTGCACTCCAAAAGCAACATGCTGTAAAATAAGATGCATGAGGAAGATGACAGGAGCCAGTTATAGGAACTACATATCTGAGAGAGATCCATTTAACAGATCTTTGAGCAGCTCCAAGAAGAATCTCAGACAGGCATGACCAAATGAGATCTGAATCTGCCTGTTCTTAGGTAGTAGCTACCGAGAAATTCATCTTCATTAGAACATAAAAATGCAAAATCTTAATAGTTTTAATTGCACTTAAATGCTGTAGCCTAGCTGACCATTACCCTTAGTTTACCACCATACATGCCTGATCTGGCTTCCACTAAAACTTCCAAAAAAGCAAAAAAAAAAGTGATTTAGAGACCAGGGCTATTTTCCGCCCCCCTAAAAGCAGAAGCATCACTTTCCTTGACCTAAATCACTTTTAAATAATTTGCCAGTTGTGAATTTCTGAAGTCTTTAGAATTTTTTTTAATTTAAGTTATTTTGATTTTAAGGATCAAAATAAAAGATACTCTACAGAAGAAGTAGTATACTTACAGGGATATATATTTATCCCTGAAACTTATTTAAAATTTCAGGCACCTAAATAAAGCTTTAAATATAAGACTGTATTGCTATTTATTTGAACAAAAACACTAGAAAATATGATACAGAAAACTTAACACACAGAAATACACCCAACTTAAAAATCCCAACTTACTGAAAAATAACATCAGAGTCAATGAAATGATACTATTCAGGACACCACTGTTCACAGTTTCCACAAAAGCTTAATCCATTTTATACAATAAACTGAAATTTAAGGATCACTTTGTGACTTTGCATTCAACAATTTAATCACTATATAAAAATTCTGAACTGGTTTGTTTCCACAGTGGTTATCTGCAACTATAATAGACGTGCAGTCAAAAATTCCAAATGAGAGTCCTGAACATTATTTTTAGATACCAAGAGGTAAACAGATCTGCAAGCAACGCTACGTAGAGAGATCTCCCCATCGCTGGCTGCCTTTGTACTTTACTATACATAAAGCAGGCTTCTGGGGCGTACCTGCAACCCACCAACCGAACGAGGTCTTCTGGAATAACAAACACAGGCAGCAGTCTCCTCCTTTCCCTCCTTCCCCAAACACCTTGGGTGACAGCCAGGGAGAAAGCCATCGACCTGCGGCGCTGTCTGACAGCACACAGCCTGCGCTTTGTCAGATGTTTCCGCGAAGGCTTGTCGACATGGTTATACATGCCTGGTCAGGAGCGATGCCTATCAGGTGATCTGATAGGAAGGAATCTCAGCACAGCTCTGTGTTTGGTTTCCACAGTACCAGCTGGCCCATCCCAGAAAGAAAACGATACTTCCAGTGAAGGGACACCATTTCCTGCACCACTGAAAGCCAGCTGAACAATGCTGCTAAGACAGCACATGACAGCACTATTTTTCCAATAATGAGTTTAGCATTCTTTTTCTACAATAAACTGTGGATATTGCTGCAAATAACGGTATTTGGTTCTGGAGCTTTAAGAACTCACCTCAATCACTGCACCAATGCCTGCTGGAATCAGTACCAATAAACTTGTCTGTTCATCCAAAAGGAAAAGAAATATTACCACAGTACTAAAGCACCGCCAGAGCACTAGGATATAAAAATGAAAATGAAAGGCTTATTAATATTTAAATAGACAGCTGAGATGACGGAAGGCTGTTGGCCTATTTACTACAATTCTATAATTCTGTATTACCCAGTTTAAGCAGGAACTTCTACGTAGATCTCGATATATCAAGTAGTCCTAGAAACAGCCAGTATACCTCCAGGCAAATAATGAACAAAAGCATTTTATGAAATCCTTATCACAAAAGATGGAAGGAAGTTCATATTAAAGGAAGACTTCTGTACTGGAGCGATTCAGCAATGTATCAGTACTATTACGCATGATGTTCACGATTCGAACGAAGTTGAAAGGCTGTGAGGTAACACACTGTCAGTCTTTGAAACACATGCAACTAATTTAATGTTTGCAAATGGTACGAAGTATGTTTTAGGGTTACCTTTCAGGTTTTGCAAAACCTTGGGTGCTTTTAGGTGTCTGCCAACTAATTCTTAAATTTGATTATCCATTCCCCTAAGCAGGGACAGACAAGGAGAAGAGCTACAACACACTCAGACATCAACAGTTACACTGTACAGTATCAGGGGCTTTGCCTGTCCTGCTTCTCCCTCTGGGCAAGAAGGAGATACAGGCAGAAGAGTGACTAAGGTTTGCTAAAGAGATCGCGAAACCATTGATTACTGGAGACTGAAAATTTAGGTATTTTGATCATAAGGTTAAAAAGACCTTTGTCACTCAGTCTTTCCAATTTGACTTCATGTACTTTTTAAAGTGGCAATTAACACTTAACTCTGAAATTCCATGGACCATTTTGAGCTTTTACTAACTTTCTGGTACATATGCCAACAGCAGTATAAATGCCTTACAAAAACAAATGCACTCTGATAAAGATGATAAACAGATCCTCCATGTGAGAAAAACATGACACTGTTCTTTATAATTCAGAATGGCCAATTTTTTCCTTGTATGGATATTTCTCACGTATTTTAATAAATCTGTAAATAGGACAGAATTAGGGATAGTCTTAGAGATCAAGTGACTTCAGGTTTATAATTTTGGTTTATAATCAAAATGGAAAAATCTGCTAGAAAAAAAAGCACTAAGGATTAGGACAATAACCAAGACTGGGGAGCGGTGTGTTCAACTCCAAGAATCCAGGGCTGGCTGCTACCTTCATTTGTCTCTAGGAAGGTTCAGTGAGATGCCAGACCTCTATGTTTCTCTCATCTTTCCTATATCTGAGTCAACTGAACCCTCCACGCTTTTTCCACACCCGAGGAGCATGCACTGCTGCTCCTGTTTATATCAAAGCCCAAATCAAACAACGGCATTACACTACAGCGTTCCCCTCCTACCTCCAAATATTTTAGAATCTGCAGTCATCTTTTCATATACTAAAACATCTCATTTCGCCATCTTGGTGAAACTACAAAGTATCAACTTATGAGTGTGACTGAAAACACACAGCATATATCACACAACACATACACACACACACCACTTCGTATTCTGGCCCATACCTGCTTTTGTAGACATCCCAGTCATGCTCCTCTTTTTCTTCCAAAAACTGATGTCATTTTTGAATGCAAGGAAATCAAAGAGAAGCTGCAAATAGCAAAAACCATAGCATTTGCTTGAAACATGCACTAGAGACTGCTAGCCAAACTGTTAAAAATGCATTTAAGAAGGAATTTAAGAAAAAATTTGGTTTAGAAACTTTAAAAAGAAGAATTAAGTATCATGAATAAAAGCTCAGAAGATAAACTGTTTTAGACACTCAAGATCTAAAAGCAGAGCAAAATGACAAGATGAATTTCAAGTACTCCTGCTACTACTCCAATGCTGCTCAATGCAGCGTCCTGTGAAGAGAGTCAGTGACCCAATACAGGGTAACACATGGTAGAGATGAAGAATGAGGACCCTGAGGAATTGCTCACCTCCTTGGCAGACCAAGGAAAGGCACACTTTATTAAATTTGAAGTGCTTTGTATTAGACCAATAGTCAATTTAGTCTTGGATAGTACTAAAGCCTTTTAAAAAAAATCCTACAATACAGCAAGTCAGGTTTCATCTTTATTTCATCACTAAGAGGTTGACCTAAACTTCAGTGACATTTTAGCATTAAATTTATTTGTAATGACTGCTTTTTTCAGTATTTTCTTTAAGCATTCACTATCTTAACGAAAAAAAATCAACAAAAACAAAACAGCACAAATTCGAGAAATTCTTGGGTCAGAGAATTTTAATGAAAACATTTTTTTTTTACTTTGGGCAGATGGTGCATAGAAGGAAAAAGTATCAGAAGAGCAATCTCCAGTCTACAGATACCTTAAAACCTGATAAACAGAATGGGAAAAAAAATGTGTCTGGGAAGTCTAAGGCTTTCCAACCAAATTAGCGTAGTGTAAGTATAAAGAAACATAACATGTCCAGCAAGTTGTTAGCTCTCCCAGAATATGGGAATTTTATTGAGTCGGTAAGTGTAGGTGACAAAAAGTTCACAATAGAAAAATGAAGTCTAAAAAATTTTTTCATTAAAACAAAGATTCATACCTAAACCAAAACACATACAATGCCAAAAGAGAAATACAACAACAAACAACCATGACTAGAAGCCTAAGCTTTTCAATTTGCAGCAACAATTTTTTGAAGCAATTTCCATCAGCCAATATAAATTTCTCCAGGTATTAGGAGTCAGAGACTCAAACTCTAGTAGTTGTGTTGCAGCTACATCACCGTGGTGGTAAACCTTGTAACAACTCAACAAAATATGAACCAATGTTGACAGGCACATTAATTCTGAGGACTTTGGTTCAACTACAACAAAATGTAAAGTGATAAAGAAGTTAAATGTCTTATATTTCACTCGAGATTGTTAGTTTCTACCTAGTCATCTCAAATTTGTCTTATTTGAGTTTTTTATATTAACTCTGTATTGAAAATACAGCTGCCCCAGAAAACACTTCCATTGTTCTGAAGTTACTATTTCCAAACCCAGTTCTTAATAAATGAAAGCGTTGACATTCAGCCCATCCCCTGCCTTTATTTATTTTATATGCTGTCATTCCTAAACCCTGCAGTTTCTTCACTTACATGGAATGCTGCTACGAAGAATGTCAAAGCCAGAAAGTACAGGTTAGTATCAACAAAAATGCCTTTTACTTCATCTGCATCCTTCTCTGAAAATCCTACAAGAAAGAACAAGTAATTATGTCAGTATCATCACACAGTTAATTGATTTTATGCTAGAGTCCAGTATGAAAAAAATGTTATGTAGCTGCCCATAAGGAATCATAAATCCAAAACATGATGGCAGCTTTATTGGTAAAACCCAAGTCTACCTATATTTTGGCGAGTTACTTGGCTTGCCTTAAACAAAACCCACAAGCTGCAAGCAAACTGATGTGCCTTTAACATGTTGTGTAATTACAATCTAAGCTGAACAGACAAATGGCAAGACACGGGAAGCCACTGTGGCCTAAGTGGGAAGAAAAAGAATTATTCAGCTTGGCTTCTGAACTTTTATTTGATACATAAGAAAAACTGATACATTAAAAACTGAAAAATGAGGAGATACTGTAGAGGACAACAAACGTGAGTGAGAAACATGGCCATGTATGGAAAAGTATAGACCCCAGATCATGGATTAGAGATCAACTCTTTTGACAATCCTTGCAGAATTAACTTGGAAGCTTGTCTTTGACAAATGGATAAAGGCAAAGCACCTTCCAGAAAGCACAGCATGTAAGCTCAATATATATTCTCTATTGTCTTACCAAATCTCTTATAGGAGAAATGTTGCTTTCTCATTATATATTGGATGACTACTAATTCAAAAAAAGCTAGAGCCTGTCCTGTCCATGACAAATAAGTCTGCCAGCATCAAGGCCTGTGTTTTCCAGAACATACACCATCCCTTTGAACTTCTTCAGCCAGTGTTAAAATGTTTTTTTCATGAAGTAGAAAGTACTAGCTACTGTGATTGAAGTTTGCTGTCCTCAGAAAATACACAATGAGGCATTTACAGTGATGGTGCAGGTCACGACACCGGTGAGCTCAGTCCTAATTTACTTTGTCCTAACAGCTGTCCTGCACGACAGCAAGAACTACACGAATTTACCCATATTCAAGTGATTTTGGAGTTTTGCTACTGACCTAGCGGGACCTTTTCAGAAGTTATTCCAGAAAGAAAATTTAATTTAAATCTTATGTTTCAGTATCTACATACTTACAGACAATGAGCAGCATCTGAGCTAAGCTTTTTTTCCCCCCACGCAAACTCTGAGCAAGCAGTTACTTGACTCTTTCAAGGCGGTTACTTTAAGCAGACATACTTGTAGCTTTGATACGCATTAGCCTGAGCTATGGAGAAGCAACTGGATTCTACTCAGGATGACCTTATTCCTTACTTGCCTTTCCTTTCCCAACAAAACACACAAGAAGTTCAGGCTGCAAAAGAAATGGAGGAAGTCTGTACTTCCCATTAAGTTACACTGTGACAGGTCGTGTGCCTTCTTACAACACTACACTTTGAAAGTGGTGCTGTGCTGAACCAGAACAGATGATTTTTTTTTTTTCTAGAGGAATCAATTTATTAAATGTTAGGTTGGCCATCATAATATGTTAATTCAGAGTTGACAGTGAATAACCAAACTAAATTCTGGTGAACAAAGAACAACGCTGATTAGTATGGAAGCAGCATTACCCCTGCATGTCTTGGGAAACTAGTAGAACACTACATTTACCTTTTTTTTTAAAAAAAAAAAAAGGATAAGTGGGTAAGGATTTAAGAATCATTGAAATAATACAGCACAGAAGCTTTTAAGATCTCTTGGCCTGAAAAAAGTTCAAACTGTGGTCTGAAGAGATTAAAAAGAGAGGATCAGAAAGCAACCTACATTCACATACATCAACATCAGTTCAGTTACAATGTAGTTCCTTACTCTACCATAAAGAAACCAAGTACAGTCTAGTGAGAGAAAACTGAGCCAGGAAAGACAACCCTGAAAATAAGATGTGGATTTTTAAGAGTGATGATAGCGTGGATCACATATTTGGAAACAGTAAAAGCTTGGCTATACCATCACCAACAAAGAGCATATGAACTCCAGAGTGGAAGCGTACACTTACTCCACTACATTTAAGCGGAACACAAAATTTAACAGTTTCATAAATATAAAGGCTCTAGTTTATCTAAATTACCTCAGCACTGGTGGGGCTGCACCTTGAGTATTGTGTTCAGTTTTGGTCACCTCAGTATAGGAGAGATATCGAGGTGTTGGAGCGAGTGCAGAAGAGGGCAACAAAGCTGGTGAAGGGCCTGGAGAACAGACCTTATGAGGAGCGATTGAGGGAGCTGGGTCTGTTCAGTTTGATGAAGAGGAGGCTGAGGGGGGATCTCATCATGCTCTACAATTACTTGAAAGGACATTGTAGAGAGGTTGATGCTGGTCTCTTCTCACAGGTATTTAGGGACAGAACCAGGGGAAATGGTTTCAAGTTGCAACAGGGCAAGTTTAGGCTGGACATTAGGAAGAAATTCTTCACAGAAAGAGTGGTCAGACACTGGGACAGACTGCCTAGGGAGGTGGTTGGGTCGCCATCCCTGGATGTGTTCAAGTGTCGTTTAGATGGCGTGTTGGGTGATATGGTTTAGGGGTGACCTTGTAGTGTAGGGTCAATGGTTGGACTTGATGATCCCAAGGGTCTTTTCCAACCTGAATTGTTCTATGATTCTATGATAAATTTGTAAGTGAGAGGTCAGTTCTGAAATGTCAGATGCAGTATGATCAGAACTGAGACTCCTTGAGATTCATGCACAAAGATTTTGCTGTGCCTGCCTGTATCTCACTGCAGGTGTAAGGCTACAGTGACCAGCTTTATAGAGCTTATACTGAAGCTTATATAACACCCATTTCTATCTTCTGGTTCCATGGATGAGAGGGGAAACCCGTGGTGAAAATTCTCTCCTCTATCTTGTCCTCTTATGCTTTCACAGTAGTACTATCAAAATAAATTCATTAAAAAACCAGTTAATTCACATCTGTATTCTTGTTTCCTATCATATGTCAACATTTTATATCCATCTTTACCTTAAGGCAGTTTTGTAGCATTAAGCCTTTTTGCCACCTAACCAGAAAAAAAAAAAGAATTAAGTCTCATCTATGCACCTAAATGAAAAAAAAAATTGAGGGGTATGTTGGAGTTTTTTTTGGCCTAAATTCATTGAAGTTAAAAAACATACCAAATTGTTGGAGGGAGTACACAGCATCCTGCATGTGGATCCAAAATCGGAGTTTTCCAAGAGATATTTTGTCATATGACACTGTAAGAGGTAGCTCTGTTGTTGAACGATTTATAACCTGTATTTTGAAAAATATAGAGTTTTATTTTTAATAGGAGAAAAATTGCAACAATTATTTCCATGCATTAAAAAAAATAAGGGGAAGTGATTACATTGTATTATAATTTAATTACACTACTTTAGGAGGTCAGTTTTGAAAGGAAATGAGACCTTAGACTTTTATACTATGCTTGAAGTCTTTGTTGTTCTTTTTTTAAAGAAATGTTAAATTAGCAGTTTTTCTGTTCAAGTTTTATAGCAACCTCACTGTCACTGTGTACAAATGCCTCCAAGACATTTACATAAAGCTCCCTCTGCTGGTCTCAGCTCAAGTGGGAAAAGTCGGCTTAAGGTGGTTCTCTCCTTTGACAGTTCTCTTAATGTATAGGCTAAGATTACCTAAGATAGAAGATTAAAAAAACAACAACAAAAATCATATCCCAAAGGCCACAGTCAGAACTTTACTAAACTGAGGCTAGTTTTGAGATAAATTGAAGTCACAATTCATAATGAAACAAAAGGTGAGGAAGCAAGATGACGTTACTTGCTCGGACTGGTGAAAACATCACAGCTAAAGCTACGCAAGATACTCGGCCTGCAAACTTTGGGATACGAATACAGAATCTTCTTCCTGCTCCAAGATAAATAAATTTCACCTAATCCTACTGTATCATCTACATTTTAGTTATGATAACTACCTGGGGCCCCCTTAAGCTTTATATATATACAAAAATGAAGTCTTCAGTTGCCTCAGGTCCTTCTGTGTGATAGTTGACTGTTTCTCAAACAAGTCTGAGAAACGAAAAATGGTGCCAGGGATCTCTGAACTGTCTGAAAAAAAAGTAAAAAAACCCCAAACTCGGTGAAACCAACGTGGTGCGAGCTGACAATAGAGAATGCTGCCAGGATACTACAGCTCTTTACCAAAAGCTACAGAAACATCTTTCAGACTTCTCCTTTTTAAAGCATGCCTGTAATCCATCCATTTTCATTTCAATTCCTCAGTCTATCAAAGATAGCATCAACATTTCTGGGAGTAAAGGAAAAGAAATTTTACCTGTGCAGGACAGATAGAAAACAAAAATTTTGCACATGCATAAGTAACATGCAGCAAGTGTATTCTACACAGACAAGGCACTACTACGGAGCTAGAGGGAGTGTAGGGAGAAAATGACATTGCAATACAAGATGGAGACAGGAGTTCTTCAACACCCAAAGCAAATTAAATGAAGATATAAAAATTAAAAGAATAAAGTCTTTCTCAATGAATAATTACAAGTCCACAACTGCTGTTCACAACCTAGGTAAGTGCGATGGCTTGAAAACTAGTTAAAGTTACCAAACCTCTGCAATATAACCTAGTCCTGTAGCACAGGAGCCTCAGAACCTCCCCTGTCCCTCCTAGCAGTCTACTTTATTAGTACTACAAAACAGTGTGCAAACACAGCAATTAAGTTCAGCAGTATGAAATTGAAAGTTTCTTTTTATTAAACGAGTTTCCTGTGCAATCCCCAAACGCCCAGCACCGGCGAGAACATTTAAGAAGGTGAGAAATGCATAACCCCTAGAACACAGTACTTATCACAGACAACCTACATCTGTGTCAAAATAATAGTTCAAAATCTACAGAGCCTAGCACAAGCAGGAATTGCTCCACCACTTTAGGTCAGCGTCTATGACCCGATGTATAGTCAAAAAGCCAGCCTTGCTCCACAAAAGCTGTATCGCCTTCTTCCCTTAGTCTTTCCTGCGCTTCACTTGCCTCTCATTATCTCACAGCATGCTTAGGACTAGATCACTCTTTCTGCAGGGCCTGCAAGCAGTTTGGGAAGTAACTACTGAGAAGCCACACAAGCCAGTGTGGAGGGGAAGTTTGCTAGTTTTGATGGAATAGTCTCTGCAGCACTTCCCAGCACATTGCAATGACTTTAAAGCAGTGAGTTACAATAGCATTAACCAAGACATGCATGAAAACTGCAGAGATATTATTAATAATATGCTGAGTTTATTTGTAAACAGGGTACATGTCTCGATCAGTTAGAAGCTCAATGAATGTACTGAATGAGCTGTGGTAAGAAACTTAAAACAAAGGACCACTGATAAAAGATATCCCAAAAGTGTATCTGAAGAAATACCAGACACAACTACCTGCTACCAAGATTTGTTACAAATGCTCTGCTGAACAAGCTTGAGGTGGAAGGGATACAAGTTGTTAAAGAAGATTCTCCCCAACATTAAGTAACAAAACGATCTGTCTGAGTTAAATTAATGAATTGGAAAGACAATGTAGAAGGTCTATGGAAAGTTTACTTCTACGAAGACTTTGATCTAGAAGATGCTGAATCCAGACACACTCATTTAACGGTTTTCAGACATTCCCCAAGACTTCTGTTTTTAGTAAGTCTGATCATGAAATTCCAGTCAGTGCAACCGAAAAGAATTGCAGGGCTCAACTAAGAGCTGCTAAGATGATCATGGTTTAGATGCAGGAGGCTGCCATATGTAACTCATATTAAAGGAACTGCATGATTTCCCATGGGAGAAGAGCTGGGCAAAACCTAAATGCAGAAAGTTCTACTTAAATATATAAAACCCCTCCTCCCCGCTCCTTTTTTTTTTAACTGCAGGGGTGAGTGAACACTAGAACATGTTGCCCAGAGAGCCTATGTCATCTCCATCCTTGGATACATTCAAAACCCAACTGGAAAAGGTCCAGAGCAACTCGCTCTAGATGATCCCACTCTGAGTAGGGGTGTTGGGTCTAGCATCCTCCAGAAACTTCACCCAATTTCATCCTTCTGTAATTTTACTCCTTAAGTTCCTAAGTCCTGATTTCTTTGAGTGCACAAAATCATTGGATGTATTGCAACACCAAGCTTTCAGGTGCTCTGTACCGACCCAAAAGGCAAAAGTAATAGAATCCAAATATCTTTTGGTGAAATAGGAGGGAGTGCTTGACAGGTACTTCTGGCAGAGGGGTCTCAAAACCCAGATCTAGCCTCTGCAGTTACCACAGCTGACCACATTAAGTTAAAGAATCATTAATCTTTTTCATTACAGCAAACAACATATGACAAAATCTTAATTAAAACAACATTGAAGATTACTGTTAAATGTAATTAAAGGTATCCGATTACTCACCATCAAATCTTTCACTCTGTTGCTTAGCTGATCAATAAATAATATTGGAAGGTAATGCACCGTCTTCCCCAACTGAACCCTAGGGTGTTTAAACATGGATTTTATGACTGTGGTGATCTAAAAAGAAAACTACTTTTATTCAAATTAGCACTCATTCATCACTTTCAGACTTACCCATGGAGATATTTCCCACCATCTTTTCAGGCACATTTTCTTTTAACATGCAGCAAGAAGGAAGCAACTAAGCCTAGAGTCAATCACTGAAACATGTCTTTATAAAAAAAAGTTAGGTGTGCCATATTTCTCCTTTTAGCTTCCTTTTACTTTTTTATAGAGACATAGAATATGCAAAAATCAAAGACAAATCAAATTGGTTGTGATGATGCTGAAGCTGCAGCATGACCAAGGGTAGAGGAAATTACCATGTTTGTTGAAAAGACATGTGCTGAAGTTTACTACCATGTATTTGTATGCTTTACCTCAAGTATCCCTCTTCTACTGTAATGACAACTCTCCACCCACATATACCTGCAGGAAGGTGAGATACCACTGGAGAGGGCACACAAGGAACAGAAGTCTTCTCTGCCTTCTCCTCAACAGAAGCTCTAGCATGGATTGCTCTACCACCTCACCAACCTTTATGAAACCAGTAGGAACTTCCCAGCCTTTGAACCCTCTACAAAATTAACCGTTGGAAAGTTATTTAGCAAATTATGGTCGGTATGCAACTGCTTTCTCACTATCTTAGAAAAGCATTTAGCCTAGTGCTCTAAGAGAGACAAATTCTTAAAGTTGTTCACTAGAAAGGTAGTTATCTGCATTGTGATGTTCTCAGTAAAACTTGATGGAACTAGCATAATGGAGCTTTTTAAAGCCCCAAAGTTGAATTTTAGTCTGTGACAGAAGTTTGTATGCATGCCAGGAAAGACTGCACATTAAATATACAGTGGGCAACGGTAATTTAGAAAAGTACTGAACTGAGGCTCAGAAATACTACTTGGTTATTTAACTGAAGAGGTTTAGATTTCTGTGTAATAACTACAATTAAAGCTACTGCTAGTGGAATTGAAGCAAGCTATTTCATATCCAAACTACCTCCTGTATAACGCAATGACAAAAGAACACAGATGCGTATCTAAACACGACCAGAAAAAATATCCTTGTTCATCAATCCCAGTGCAACCCCTATCTTACGAGTTACTACGTTTATTCTGGCTGGGAAGCTATCCCAGAACCCCAAGGTCTGCTGATTAAACAACTGCTTCTGGATTTAACAGGATAGTTGTAGAGAAAGGCACCAACACCCAGCAGCACAAGCCAATACAGCATTTTTCCTCTGGTTAATGCTGGAAGTAATTAAAGTAAGCTGTGAAAGGAAGCTCCTGCCTGCACTTAGTGGCCTACAAACCTATCCCTGCCTTTTAGCATTTTCTTGAAAAAATGACAATGCAGGAACACACATTGTCAAAGTAAAATAAAGCCAATCGTAAAGGGAGAAAAAAATTGTCATATCTGTGCCTCTTCAGCATTTGCAATTTGTACAGATAATTTGCAGACGAAGGGTAACCGGAAAGGTCAAAAGACAGCAATTGCTTTAAAGGGCAGACGTATGATGTGAGAACAAGGGAGTATGAAGTCTCTTGTAGCATTTTACTTGTGTCTTTGTAGTTCTGCTTTGTCTTACTATGATAACTCCTAAATTCTTAGCTGCCCAGGAAAAAGATATCTCCAATAAGGTTTCCCAGTGCACAACATCTTTCTTACTGTCACTACCGAAATGCAGGCATTAAGACCATCTACTCGTGTCTCCCAAGCACCAATTCAAGCATAAAACACTAAAGGAGCAACTTTGAAGCAATGTGCAGTATGTTTCTAATAATAAATCTAGGAAAATTAAGTCCTCGACTTACATCTTCATGTAGCGGTGAACATCAGCAGGGAGGGATGATCCATCAAACACAAAATCTTCCACCATGACATTTAAGGTTAATCTTGACCTCCAGTGAGACACAGGTTCATCTAGAGCATTGGTCTGTTTTTCTGCTTCAATTTGCTTTAAAAATACAATAAACATACATACCGCTAAACAACACAGAATTTTAAAGAGGATTATACTCTTAACTCACAGAAACCCTAGAGTCATTAACTAAATCACAAAACAGAAGTCCACTAAGAAACAGTTTACGTCAATTTTGACCAGATCAAGTATTTTACTCAAACACAACAGAACAGATTGTAAAAGCCCACCATAACCTGACACTGACACACTTCAATGCCCATTCACAGCCTTGTTCATGAAGAACTAATTTCAGTTAATTAACCTTAACACCGTAGGAATGTGGTTACTAGTCACAAAAAGCCACTCTGAAATACGGACTGTGAAGCAATCAGATATTACTTCAAAACAGTCAGAAGAACGATCAACTATATCAATTTTTTGGAGTAAAAAGATCAGACCACTTGTTTTGAACTTTTGAGCTTCCAAATGCTGTGTAAAGCAGTGCTCAAACCAAGTATGACCTTCACTTTCAGTAGCTGCTTATCACCAGGGCTTTCTACTTGTTTCTCTTTGGATGAACACCACCTGTACTGACTTTTAGTATTGGAATCTAGCCTTAACCCATTTTCAGCTTTATTCTGACAGGATTTAGAAACCACACTGCTGGCTACAGGTAAATTTCAGGTTCCAAAGAAGAACAGAGTGAAATTCTCAAGCTCCACTTCAGACCAGGCACAACAGCCATTTATAAGCACTTTAACACAACGTTTCCCGTTGATAAAGGGGGTTGATACTTTTTTTCCTAGTATCATCATTACTGTAAAGATTCAAGTGCAGCAGATGCTAATACTACAAGTGTCTAGGAAAGAAACCACTTCTTTCACAGTTGTTCATCTACAGATGGAAAAACTACCTACCTGTGTGGCTGATTCTCCAGTGAGCAAATTAATCTCTTCTGGTTTAGGGATCATGTACGTGGTCAGAGGACTTACTACATGCACTTGCTTCCCATCATGCCAAGGCAAAATGCCAGCATGATGAAGAAATATATATGCATATAATGTGCCGTTATTTCGTGTTTTCTTTGGTACAGAGACATTCACTGTCCTAAAATACAAAATAAATACATTATGCAATGACATACCACATGTTGGGATATACAGTTATTACATATGAAGATCACTGAAGATGTTCTGAAAGCAAACCAGAAAGGGTTGAGGACGTTTAAAAACCAAAACAAAACCCAAAACCCTAAACCCTCAGGCATTTGGGTTGCCTGGCACACAACAATTAGTTCTGGCTAATATGTCCTAATGAGCTGTGGCTAGAGTGGATCGATTTACATACTCCAGTACGTAGCATAATATCTGCACTTCCAAAGTTTTACTGTTATCTTAGGATACTTGAATCTTTGTCCACTTCACCCTTTATTACCCCAGATCACATAGGACTGTATCATCAGTTCTTTTGCTGTTTTCCCCTGCCAATAGGTCCTAGGGCCAAAAGTATCACAGCACTTGTACAAAGTAGCCTTCCCTGTGCCGAATACGCACCGCAGACTGCATTCCTCATAAAACATTTAAAACCACCATGTTTGGTTCAATGCTTTGCATTAATAACGTATCTTTGAAGCTATGGCATGCCAAGGACAGAATTCTGGATTGTAGCTCCAAACCACAAAGTCACTCCTCTTGTATTAGCCAAGAAATCATCCTCCTTGCAACCTTGCTAATGCCTCCTCTACCACTGCAAATTTACTCAGGTTGTTTTTCTCTGAGTATCTTCAGTGGCTTAGCAGACTGTGTCAGCAAAACAATTCTTATATGAACTTTATTTACTATGAGCTAAACTGCAGACCAATGCTTTAATTATAGGAAATGTAAAACCTGAAAGAACACGTGAAACTCTTTGATAAGAGAGTCAAGAGTAAGGTGATTATTTTAAACCAAAAAAACGTGAGGCAGTGAATATGAAGCACAAAACAAGTAGTTCTAGTCATTTGAATTGTAAAGAAGCATATACAGAGTGCACTGTTATCCTCAGAAATTTGTCTAAGGGCAAAATCTTATTCCATCTTAGCACTAACATCCCTTCAGAAGATCTGCAAACCCTGAACTACCAGAAAAAGAAGGTTTACTTGTATAACTACTAGCACTGAAACAGTTACAGAAAAGCATGTTACTAAAATGCAAGAAAAGAGAACTTGACTTGCAAGTTCTATTCCGGGTCTGAATCCACGGCTATTAAGAACATCATATAGGTAGCAGACTAGCTACACATGATATTAGAAGAAAGTCTCAAGCATTTCCAGGCACTTTGACTTAGATTTTCATACTGGAAAGTAATTTTTAATATTAAAAAAGCATGCTTTTGTAAAACAATTGCCCATATGGCTGAAAACACGTATATGACTGATCCAGTACAACTAGCAAGATGAATATTTAGAGTTATACATATATGGGAATCTAAAAATTATGATAGGCAACATAGGATGGCATTCGAGATTTGCAGAATCTACATGAAAGAAACAAGAGTTCTGTATTTACTAGCATAGCCTTGCTTTGCAAGCTCTCTTTCTTGCAACTATGAGATAATTTTCAATGTAAGAAAAGTTTGCTTAAGATCCTGTCCCTCAGCACCAGGTGTACTTAGCACAACACTTTCATCAAGCCAGGCACTTAACCAATGTTTAATTCATTAAATATTCTAGGAACCTTTAACTAAAGAAAAAAATGCTGGTTTTATTAAAAGCAGCACTTCATCCTCAACTCTAAAGCTGAAATCCAGCTAACAGCCTTCCTCCCTTAACATGGCAAATATAGCTATTACTTTATGAAAACAAGTGTGAACTGAACAGTCTATACAGTATTCCAAAACAAAGAATATAAAAAAAACTCTGCTCTTTCAACACGACTCTTGCAAGCAGTCTACCTTATTTCTTCCATACTTCCATACTCGTAGCTGCTAGTGAGGGTATGTACTTCAGAATTAAACAGAGCACTCATAGCTTGGATACCTACCTTTCAAATTTGGACTCAATGTCAAAATCTTCCACATTCAAAACCAGATCTATATTACTCTCAGCGCCAATGCTTGACCGTGTGGTAGTATACACGCTTAACTGAAACCAAAGCACACCACAGAGAAACCAGAGGACGGAAATATTAATTTCATGCATTAGTACATGGAGAGTACAGAGTTGTGTGTCGGCATCACCCATTTCCCCAGTCACATGAGGGTCAGACAGATGTCACGGCCAGGCTGGAGGGGGCTTTGAGCGACCTGGTCTAGCGGACGATGTCCCTGCCCATGGCAGGGGGGTTGGAACTAATGACCTTTAAACCCCTCCCAATCCAAGTTATTCTGTGATGATTCAGAAAGAAATTAACGTACTTAGCCTAATACAGCTTTCAGCTACCTCTTTGCTCCTTTTG